CCTTCCAACCCTAATGTCTATGAAATCTATTTGCTGTCCTGTTCCTCAACCCAGAAAAGGCACTTGACAGGGTGGATCACAGTAACCTCACAGGCATGCTGAGGGCATTTGACTTTGTGTGGTTTCTCCAGGTTCTTTATGCCTCCGTAAAGTGTACGGTCAAGCTCAACTGAACACTGACAGAGCCCATCCTGTTCAAGCTGCTTGAGTATCAAGACTGCCTGCTGTCAGGCCAGTTCTACAGTGTCACTCTTGAGCCCTTTCTTTGCCTCCTGCACAAGCAGGTTTTATGCTCTGAGAGCCGACCATGAGGCTGGTTCTGTCAGCGTATGCCAACAACGTGTTTCTTGCCATATAGGACCCAGGAAATCTGGCCTGCTAGTCCATATACATGGTGGCTTCCTCTGCCCTGGGTATTAACCTTTGACTGTCATCCCTGTCCCTGTTTTCTTATCATTTGTCCCAAGTATTCAGTTATTTTCTTTTCTATAGCTTCCCTGTTTAAGGGAGAATAACAGTTTAGTTTTTGGGCCTGCACCCATAATTCTATAAGGTAACAAATAGGACTTTTACCACCATGGGGCACCACCACTTCCCCCCTAGATGCTGCTGGAACTGAGCCAGGGAGTCATGCTGAGTGAGCTCTCTCACCTGTGGAGCTGCTGATGCTTTGCTTCACAGAAAGTGCTCCTGCCAGCTTCCTAGGGAGTCAACCAATGCTTACTCCAGCTGGGCTGGTCCCTGGAATGCTGCTGCTTCTGCTGCTTTTGCTTATGCCTCCCCTGAAGGGGGAGAGCTACCCCCACCCACACACACATGTGCTGCTGTTCCTGAAAGCAGCACCACTCCCAGAAAGGGTCTTCAGTGGACAAGTCTGTAATCCATCTTGATCTTGATCCAACAAACCACTGGGGACCTCAGCTAATGGCTCCTTTATGGAATTATTGCCATGATCATGTATCTGGCATGCTTTTTGGACACACCTGGCATCTGCCCCTTTTGCCAATAGAGGGAGAACCTGGTGCATGTTTACCTTTTTTGTGCCAGGTTGCAGCCCTTTTTCTGCCTCCTCCAAAAGCTCCTGCTGATGTTCTGAATGCACTTTTCCCTGCACATTTTTTGTTATTTTGTTATGAACTTTACATCCATGGCCCCACCAAGCCCTGGGACCTCCTGAACAACCTCCTCCAGGCCCTGGCCAAGGTGGCAATCCATAAGACCAGGAAGGAGACTCTGGTCAAGGACAACCTGAGCAAGTGTGGGGCTGTATTCCTGGCACTTTTTTTGTTCATGTCTCTCTGCAGCTTGACTGTTTGGCATCCACAGGCTCCCCTGACTTGTTCAGGGGGCAGTAGGTACTTACTGGTGTGCTCTGCTCAATGTTCTGATGGGCCAGAGTTCATGACCCTTGGCATATTAAATAGGCCCATGTCACACAGGCAGATAGTGGGTGCTGAAAGGAAGACTGAACTGGGTATGACAAGGGTTTTTACTAGTGCTTCTTTCCACTTGCAGCCTCTGGCATTTAAGGTCTAGAGAGTTCTGATTCAGAGGTTGGGCCCCTAACTTCCATGCTCAATAGTTACTGATGCCCTTTTCCACCAAGAATTTGCCAAGTTTCTTTTTGAATCTGGCTAAACTGTCAGCTTCCACAATCTCTCCTGGCAATGAATTCCACACTTTAATTACACATTGTATGAAAAGATAACTTCATTTTGGATTCAGTAATAGTTTAAAAAATATAATTCAAATGACTTCTGCAACATTTCTAGTTACAAATAGCACATTATTTTAAACATATTCATGTTATATTTAATCCTTTTCCCATCAAATCCCATGAACATTCCAAGTAAAATAGCGATGTTCTCAGCAGATTTATTGATATCATTCAGTCAAAATATTTCATTGCCATTATGTTGCTTGTGAACATCTTGTTCTGCCTGCATACTTTCTCACGGCATCCTTCACCTCTTTGTTCCTTAGACTGTAGATCAAGGGGTTCAGCATGGGGATCACAAGCGTATAGAACACAGAAACAACTTTGTCTTTTTGCTGGGCATAGTTAGAGTTGGGACGCAGGTACATGAAGATCACAGTCCCATACAAAATGGTGACAGAAGTCAGGTGGGAAGCACAGGTTGAAAAGGCTTTGTGCTTGCCCTCCACAGAGTGAATATGCAAGATGGCAGAGAAGATGTATGCATAGGAGATGAAGATGATGACACCAGTGCTTGTCACCACCACAGTGGAAAAGATAAAAAGCACAATTTCAGTGGCATTTGTATCAGAGCAGGAGAGTTTTAGGACAGGAGGAATATCACAGAAGAAGTGGTCAATTATGTTAGACCTACAGAAGGAGAGGGTGAAGATGCTGCTGGTTTGTACCACTGCATTCACACAGCCACAAAAATATGAGCTAATTACCAGCTGAATACAAACTTTCTTGTGCATAATGACTGTATAAAGTAATGGGTTGCTTATTGCTACTAAACGGTCATATGCCATAGCAGCCAAGAGGCAGGCCTCTATGCTAATGAAAAAACAAATAAAGAA